GCTCCCTGACGACGACGAGCCAGGCGAGGCCAGCCCACTAGCAGCCGAGGCGGGACTGACCGGGTCCGGCTCCAGGCCGGTCGAAGCAACCGCCGACTGAGGCGAAGATGCCTCCAGGTCGGGCGTGACCCCTCCTGGGTCAGGCGGAGCGCCAGCCGAAAGACTGGGCGAGGCCAGTGGCACGCCAGGCGAGGCCAGCCGCGGGCTAGGCGGGGCGCCAGCCCAAGGACTGGGTGAGGCCAGTGGCAGGCCAGGCGAGGCCACCCGTGGCCCTGTGGGCCAGGCGAGACCGGCGCCCGCACTGCAGCCTCCAGTGGCGATGCAGGGGCGGGTACGCGGGCTGAACCCGTTATGCATGGGACATGCACGTCCCGAGTAGGAGCTGCCGCGTCGGTTTCCTGTTCATCAAGAAGCTCAAGACGAGCGCCACGTCCAATACATGTAGCATGATTAGACAACAACGCAGGGGCATATGCAACATCCACAAATTGATCAGGCACAGGTGTGGACATGTGCACCGGTTGTGAGGAAATGGTAGAGTTTGTCGGAAGTGCACGAAAAGGAAACACGTTTTCATCAAACACCACGTCACGAGAGATGTAAACGCGATTTGTAGGAACATGGAGGCATTTGTACCCTTTGTGAAGAGAACTGTACCCAAGGAAGACGCACTTCTTAGACCGAAATTTTAACTTACGCTTATTATATGGGCGAAGGTGAGGCCAACATGCACACCCGAACACCTTAAAAAAGGTGTAGTCTGGAGTCTCGTTGAGCAAGAGTTCAAGCGGAGTTTGCATTTTCAGGAGTCGTGAGGGAAGCCTATTTATGAGAAAACAAGTTGTGGAAAAAGCATCACTCCAAAACCGAAACGGAATGGATGTATGAGCGAGCAAGGTTAGGCCAGTTTCAACAAGATGACGATGCTTACGTTCGGCAGTTCCATTTTGCTGATGAGTATGAGGACAAGACACACGATGTGAAATCCCAAGTTTGTTAAAAAAGAGTTGAGGTTGTGGTATTCACCCCCCAGTCAGATTGAACATGGATGATTTTCTGCTTAAGGAGACGCTCAACATGTGCTTGAAACTGGATAAAAACATCGAACACATCAGACTTGCGCTTAATAAGATACAACCAAGTAAACCGACTATAAGCATCAATAAAACTGACATAATAATTGTGACCACTAACTGACGTCTGGGCATGACCCCATACATCAGAAAACACAAGCTCAAGAGGATGTTTCACAACACGACTAGACTCTGAAAACGGAAGTTAGTGACTCTTGCCCTGCTGACAGGCATCACAAACGGTGTCAGCAGATTTATTGGACACAAGTGGTAGTTCATGACGATGCAACACATGACGAACTATAGGGGCCGCAGGATGACCAAGGCGCGCATACCAGTGCGTAGGAGACACACGAACACCACTGAACGCCTGAGGAGAAGACTGCATGGATGGTGTGCTAGGTACATCAAGTGCGTACAAGCCATGGCGAAGATGACCGCTAAGCAGAACGGCCCTCGTGTCCCGATCCTTGATAAAGAAACAAAAAGGGTGAAACTCAGCAAGGACATTATTATCACGTGTAAGTTGAGGAATAGACAACAAACTATGCGTAGCAGTGGGAACACGAAGGACATTGGAAGAGATGTAGTTTGCGAAAATTGTGTGCAAGGAGAGAAGCCTGACCAACATGAGAGATGCGCATACCTGCTCCGCTGGTGGTGTGCACCTGATCATGACCACGGTATGGCTCCTGAGTAGAGAGCTTGCCCATCTCGCCGGTGAGGTGGTTAGTAGCGCCGGTGTCCATATACCATGATGGATCAACGGAGTAGGACGGAGTGCGACCATGATCATGAGTAGTCACGGCGGCGGCAGCCTGCTTGTCGTTTCATTTGCCATTGTTGCCAAGGCCCAAAAAATCTTGCTTGTAGCGACGATGACAGCGAGATGCAATGTGGCGCTCCAGACCACACAATTGGCAAGCCTGCAGGGCACCGCAGGAGGAGCAGCAAGCAACCGGCCGGTTGCCACCCGTGATGGATGGCGCATTGCCACGCGGGGCCGAATGCGAAGATGGTGCCTGCTTGCCCCCTGAAGATGAAAGCCGCTGAGGTTTGCCGCGAGTGGCGGCATTGGCGGAGGCGAAACCCGATGAGACACGACGGGCCTTGATGCGCTGTTCACGACCAAGGAGGCGGGCATACAGCTCACGAGGTGGAAGTGGATCGTCACAGCCATGAACGTTCTCAACGAGATTGTCATAATCATCGTCGAGCCCGTTAAGAACGAAAGTGGTGAAATCCTCATCCTGTAGAGACTGGCCAACCGAGGCCAATGTGTCGGCGAGACTCCGCATCTTGTTGAAGTAGTCCGTGATGCTGAGGTCACCAAGCTTGGTCTCACCAAGCTCGGTGTGTATAGAGTGAGCACGCGCCTGAGACTGCGAGGCGAAGCTGATGTGAAGCGCCGCCCACGCCTCCCGGGATGTAGTAGCGAAGATGACCAGCGACGAGACGCTCGGAGTGAGCGAGGACTGGATGGCAGAGAGAATGGCCTGATCCTGGGCCACCCATGTATGATACACCGGGTGATGAGTGAGCGGACACGGGATGGATCCGTCAACATAGCCCTCCAGATAGCGACTGCGCAGAAGAGGCAACACCTGGGCATGCCAGGACAGGTAGTTGTCCGGTGTGAGCTTCACCGGCAGCAGATGCGAGAAGTAAAACGGTGATGGCGCCATGACCTGAGCGGCGTGAGCATGCATCGATGGCGCGTAGGGACCCGTCGATGGGGCTGTCTCGAGATGAGGAGCACCCGCCGAGTAGACGCCAGGAGCACCGGGAACGAGGGTGTCGGCTCCGTAGTTCACCGCGGCCCCGTAGGATGGCTGCGGCGGTGCAGCCACGAACCCGGACTGCGCGGAGTAGGGTTGGTGCGGCGGCTGCGCCAGGAAGTGCTGCTGCGGTGGCGGCGCGGAGTAGATTGGCGCCGACGGTGGCTGGTGGTGATGCGACGGGAGAGCCGCATAGGGTTGGTGATGATACGGCGCCGCGTAGGACGCCACGGGCCAGGAGGATGACGGCGGCTGAAGGGAGCCCTGGGCCGCCGGCAGCGCACCATACACGGCAGGAGCGACGCCACCGGGCGTCTGCGCGACGGCGCCGTAAGGCGGCTGCACAGCAATGTCATGAGACGGCGGCGCAACGAACTCAGCAGAGGAGTCGGCCGATGGATTTGATCCGATCGGGGACTCGGTCGGCGGCAGGGCCCCGTAGGCTGAAGCAAGGGGCCGAGAAGAGGAACGGTGACATAGGGGCGAGGGCCAATATGTTGGGAACTTGCTCGACACCCTAAACGGGGTGTGGCTCTTTCATTATATAGAGGTATCAAGGGGTACAATACAATGTTACAATATTAATACACAGACTACGTATATATATAGTCTAACAAGTAAAACTAAGACATGGTTAGATACATCATGCTTACAATGTAAGCAATGGTTTCTCATATCCAAAATTTATCACAATAGTATCCACGCATATCAAACATTATTTTTAAAAGGTAAATCAACGGATACGTATCATGTCGTATCAAGGGAGTATCTGAGCAACATTTGGCTAGATACGTGTGCTTTTTGAAGTATCCGTGTGACACAAAATACTTGATCAAGAATATAATTCGCGCTAAACATAACCATGGATGCTTCTTGACTCTACAGTGTGTAAATCTTATGCAACTGGATGATATTAGTACGTACACATAAGGTCGGTGTAGTTCCATACTACACAAATATGAATATAGAAACTCAATAGTTGATTGTAGATCCCGAGCTCATCGGGTGTCGGATGAAACTAAATTCAGGAAAAACATAGCAAATACGATAAGAAAAACCTAAAATTTTATGTCATCGAAGATGCTCAGGTTTTGACATCGAGGGAGCTCTGTAAAAAAAACCACAAAATCAATGCTCAAAAATGTGAAAATTTGAGCATTACTCAAAGTTTATTTTTTGTCCAGAGTTCCTGCAATGTCGAAGCATCATGAAATTTCCAACTGAGCTAAAACCACATAAGTTATTTTCGAACGGAGGTTATATTGCAAATGATCCCAAGCTCGGTAACGCCGCCCTGTATAGAAACTGCTATATTCACATGACTTGATAAAAAAAATATGTAAAAATGTATAGAGCCTCACATTTTGGCTTTAGGAAAGAGTTAAAGAATTCGACATTTTCTCGCTTTCAGAAAAAGTCGAAGAATTTCACGTTTTCGCAAGAAGAGGTTGAAATTGAATGTTTCCACCTGGTGCCTGGCCTTGGCAACCCAGAGCACGCAATGGCCAGTGAATGAATGAACCATAATAAAAAGAAAGAAAACCACACGCCAAAGAGATCTTGTAAATCCGTCGTACATACTACAACAACACAAAAATCTTTCCAATAACAGTGGCCATTAATTTCTTACCATATATCCAACGCGGCTCTGGTGTTACGTGTCCTACACAACTCGCGCCCCTTTACAGCTCGGAACCCAGCCACCCAACGGCTAGTGCCCCCGTTCAATCCCGGCCGTCCGATCCCGCGCCCCGACCGTTGCGATCCGAGCCCTTACCGACCGTTGGAGGGAGCCAGCCGCTCCTCCCCCTCCCCCCCCGCTCCGCGCAGAGGCCCACGCCGCCGCCCACCCCGACAGGACCTTCCCCGTCCTCGTCCTATATCTCCCCTCCCCTCCTCCGGAACCCAGACCCCCAATCCCTCCAAGAACCCCCCCATCACGCCATCGATTGATCCACCCACGGCACGAAAGCGCGAGGCAAAGGTCGATTCATACCTAGGCGAGGCGAGAAGAGTCGAAGGGTCGCCGTAGAGCTCGCCGTAACCCACCGTGGCTGCGCTCGCCGGCGGGGAAGAGGGCTCGCGGGTTGCGCGCTTCTTCTCCTCGGTGCTGTCCGGGATCTTTGGCCAGGGCGAGGAGGGGGACGCGATGGCCGCTCGCGCGCAGAACAACGTCGCTGCCGCTCAGCAGCAGAACAGAGGTGCGTGCGCCGACGGGATCCTGCCCTCCCTCTCTCGTCTTCTTCTTCTTCTTCCTTTGGCGTGGTTCCCCCTGGGTGGATCCTTCGCTGGTTCCTGGTTCTTGTTCTGGTCTCGGGAAAAGATGGGTTCTTGGGGGAAAAGATGGGGTTCTTGGGGGGGAAGATGAGTTTCTTGGGGGTGTTCGTTTCGGCCCTGACTCCCTGTCTGGTTGGGGTGAATTCTTGATGCGTTTTTGTTTGATTTCTTAGCAAGGTTGTGCTTCAAGCTTCCGATCCGTGGCTTTCTCTGCGATTAATTGCTCAAGATTCCAATCCTCGTTTTTGGTCTGAATTGATTGCCGCTAGAGCAGCTTCAGACGCAAGATTCGACTCTGATGGCGATTTGATGTGGCTTGATTTGATCCACCTCCTCCCGACGGATCTGACTTCTTCTTGTTTCTGCCCTGCAGCTTTAGGTGGTGGTGGTGGCGGTGTCCCCGCCATGGGCAAGCAGCAGAAGGCGGCCATGGCCGGCAGGCCCGATCCCAAGAACACCCGCCGCGCCCTGGGCGACATCGGCAACTTCGAGGCCAACAACCGGCGCGCCCCACTGGGCGACATCGCCAACGTCGTCAACGCCCGCGCGGCCGAAGGGTAAGCAACAAATCTATCCGTTCCAGTACGATTTCCTCTTCTTCTTCTTCCTATGGAACTCCTGCTTACGTTGCGTTCTTAGAAACAGGAAGCCGCAGCCCCATGAGCCGGTGAACCGCCCCGTCACGAGGAACTTCGGCGCCCAGCTCCTCAAGAACGCCCAGGAGAAGGCCAAGGTACGCGCGCGCGCATGCCCTCCTCCCTCATCCTGATTTGAATCGTATCTGGTCTCGGTGCTGATCGGAGCGTCGCCTGGCTTTGGTTGCTGCAGAACCCGGCGGCGAGGCCTGCGGTGAGGAGGGCTCATCATGTCAAGCCCGCCCCTCCTCCACCGGAGCACGTGATCGAGATCAGCTCCGACTCCGACGTGACCAAGTCGGAGGCCGGCAGCGTCAGCTCCGTCCGCAAGTACTCGAGGAAGAAGGTGGTCACCACCCTCAGCCACGTGCTCTCGGCGCGCTCCAAGGTACGCGCGTTCATCCGTCGACAGTCAAACACTTTGCTTCCTAGACCTGTGCAAGGAGCCTGATCTGATTCTGATTCTGATCCACCATTGCAATGCCAGTTTGCAGCCGGAATCACCGAAGAGCCAGCGATCCAGGACATCGACAAGCTTGACGGCGACAACCAGCTCGCCGTCGTCGACTACATCGAGGATATCTACAAATTCTACAAAGTCGCTGAGGTAAAAACATGTACTCCCTTAGGCAGTAGAAGTACTAGAGTGTGCAAAAGCATTGTGATCTCCTGCCTTGCCTGCCTGGTCTCTGAATCTGAAGGTGTTGTTTCCCTGCTCTCTCTGTTGACAGAATGAGTGCCTCGCCAGTGATTACATGGACTCTCAGGTGGAGATCAACGCCAAGATGAGGGGCATCCTCATCGACTGGATCCTGGAAGTCCACCAGAAGTTCGACCTGATGCCCGAGTCGCTGTATCTCACGGTGTATATCATCGACATGTACCTCTCGCTGCAGTCCGTGCTCCGGCGGGAGCTGCAGCTGGTGGGCGTCTCCGCCCTGCTCATCGCCTGCAAGTACGAAGAAATCTGGGCTCCAGAGGTAGGCTGAAGAATCCCTCTGCTTACCAGATGTTCATTCATTCATCGAGTCCACGTTTCTGATTGCTGGCTGTGCTTGCAGGTGAATGATTTCATCTTGATCTCCGACAGCGCATACACCCGGGAGCAGATTCTGAAGATGGAGAAGGCCATCCTGAACAGGCTGGAGTGGAACCTGACGGTGCCCACGCCCTACGTCTTTCTGGTGCGTTTCGCCAAGGCCGCGTGCTCCTCCGATCATAAGAACGACAAGGAGGTAAAAGAACTTTACATTTACATACAGACACAGCATACAAATTCTTCAGATCAGCGAGTCTGTGTGCTGATGTTTCTCTTGTCTCTCTTCTCCTGGATGTGTGTGCAGATGGAGAACACCGTCTTCTTCTTCGCGGAGCTGGCGCTGCTGCAATACGGGCTGGTGCAGTCCAAGCCCTCCATGGTCGCCGCCGCTGCTGTCTACGCCGCCAGGCTCACCCTCAAGAAGACCCCTCTGTGGACCGACACTCTGAAGCACCACACTGGCTTCACTGAAGCGCAGCTGATGTAAGCTATAAGCATGTGCACACTACTGAATCCCTATTGTAGCCTGAATATCATTCAGGGGCACGCACTGACAGAGACAATGCTTTTGTGTGATGATTGGTTTCAGGGACGCTGCCAAGATCCTGGTGGCCTCGCACTCCACCGCGCCTGACAGCAAGCTGAAGGTCGTCTACAAGAAGTACTCGAGCGAGAAGCTCGGAGGAGTCGCCCTGCGCCCGCCTGCGACCGACCTGTGCAAATGAGCTGCCCGCGTGTTTGTTGCTTTGGGTTTGGATTTGGGAGTGCGATGGAAGGATTGTCTGACATTTCGCCGTGTTGGTTGTTATTCGTTTCTTGCTTTTAGAAGAGTGCGTGCAAGAAGGGTTTGAATAACAGTTGTTTGGTTGCAAGTCAGGCATATTATCTGACTTGTTGACAAACTATTATATTAGGACTTGTGTGAGAAAAATACACCTTGGTCTTGGTGTATATATATGTTTTCTGGATGCTATCTACGACAGCTATTCAATTATTTGAATAATCTTTGATGTCTCTGTCCTTCTGAATTTCCTCCTAAAAATGTGGTGTGTGAGATATCTATCTGTTATTCAAAATCTGAACCACAGTTGCAGTGTTCATCATAATTTCAAAATCTGAACCATAGTTTGAAATTTGCACTTCATAATTTGAACTAGCCGCACTGCAATTGCTGATAAAAAGGCGTTTCTGCACATTAATTTTTCTTCTCACAGGCAACACTTTACAACTGTGCAATAAAAAACACTGCTCTTTTTTTCGACTCTCTGTCCTTCTGAATTTCCTCCTTATTTTTAACACCAGCTTATTTTTAACACATATTTGCACCTTCATATTCTGAACCTTATTTGCACAAGTAGTCTTAGAATAATGAAACCAAATGGCTCATTGAGTTCAGGACAATGAATGGAAGATACAAGAACAATGAAACCAAATGGCTGAGTGAGTTCAGGACAATGAATTGAGATCCTTTGACAGCTCTGCCAGAAACCGTAGCTCTCCCATCAAAACTACACTCAGACAACATTTGAATAGATGATGCATTTCAAGCATCAGTTTTGGAACATTGCTGATCGAGTTCAGCACATCGTGACTCGCATACCATCTGCATCAATGAACTGAGATTATCATACGAAGATCCACCCTCTTCAACAGCTCTGCCACAGACCTCTTTCCACTCAAGGGCACGCCTCCTTATCGCCTTGGTATCGGACTCATCACAGGCCATGAGCCTCTTAACAGCCCTTGCAATGTCCTGACTCCCAATCAGGCCATCCTTATCGGCCCATTCGCGCAGGGCCAGTCCAACCTTCCAGTCTTCAACAATCAGACGACCATCAATCGGTTGATCAAAGAACAGTGGTAGAGCAAGCATAGGCACGCCAGCAAAGACAGCTTCAAGTGTCGAGTTCATTCCACAATGTGTCAGAAAGCCCCCAACAGAAGGATGGCATAAAACCTTCAACTGATCACACCATGCCATTATCATGCCCCTGTCGGTGTCACCAACAAGTTCTCGCACCCGGGAAGACTTTTCGCGAAGAATCCATAAGAACCTGACACCGCTTGATGCAAGGCCTAATGCTATCTCATCAAGCTGGGAGGCTGACACAGAGAGGAAGCTGCCGAGGGAGACATATAGCACCGAGTTCACAGGTTGAGAGTCTAGCCAGGTGAAGCAGTCTCCTGGACTGGTGGCAACTTCTCCATTGGACTTGGAATGCTGGTCTTGTAGTGTCATGTAGGGAATGCAGGGCCCAACTGGGAGAACTGGACATGGGAGTGCTGATCTTAGGGAGTTGATGACACCGGCCTCGAGCTCGTGCATAGTGGTGAATAGGAGGCATTGCGCGTTCTTGATGCTAGAGACAGCTGCTAGGACATGGTTTACTGTTGTCTTGTTGTGAATTAGGGGCTCCAGATCAGATAAGGTCACTGAACTTGAAGCAAAGCCTGAGATATAGTGCTCAAGTCTCTCATCAGATTTATCTGCAGAAAAGAAAGGATGACTGAGCAATGCTGCAAGCTGCCATGTCTATTACTGAAATGAACAAACTATATCCACTATAACAATGACTATAAAAAAATAAAATCACCCGAAATGAGAACCATGTGGTGCAGTTAAAACAATACTCATATGCGACACCAATTTCTCAAGCTTGATCTATGGCTAATCTAAAAAAAAAAAGCTTGATCTATGGCTCAGTTCTGGCTATTTGGACTATCCATAACAAAACTGCATTTAGACCGTCAATTCGGTGAGTTTTCTCCCAGTAATAGCATGTGCCACAAACAAATAGACATGCCCACTTTGAAGTTACATGTGATTAATTAGTCATTTTCATGTTTGGCAATGTTTATTGACCATGCTCCGGGTCACTTGGTCCTTTGCACATGCAGCTGCCGGCATCGTAACACTTGAAACTACGTGGGGATGTGCACATAAATAATGGAGCAGTCAAACAATGATACTTGAATCAGCGAAATATTGAGAGCATCCGTGTATGTCGGCATTCTGCAGGATATATATATTTTGGCAGAGTTACCACGTACTACTCCCTCCGTCCCAAAATTCTGTTTTGAGACGGAGAGAGTAGTACCCTCATGCATAAACATGAATATGTACTACCTCCCTTCCGGTTTATAGGGCTCATCTCAAAATTTCAGTTTTTCAGTTTTATAAGTCTCATTTCTACTACTTCTCATCACATGTTCAGATTTCAATGTGCATTAACTCTTTGCATGCAAGGATTATGACAAAACACACCAATGTACTCCCTCCGTCACGGTTTAAAAGGCGCGCTTGGAAATTCTCTGGGACCTAGGTGATTATCTATTGGTTGTGGGATGGGCTAAAAAATAGCATTCACACTATGCATGCATATAGAAATAGTATATCGGAGTACTAATTAGCTACTAGAAATAAATGCAATGTGCCCTAAACCTTGTCTATTGTGGAAACACACGCAAATTCAACTGTGCCTTCTAAACCATGACGGAGGGAGTATGTAAAGCTTCTTTGTCATTTATTGGCCAAACATGCATGCATTGCAATTAATGCATTGGTAAAGACAACTTTTTGAGGAAAACGAGTGCACTAATTGAGTACTTTTGCAAACTACAAAAATTATTCCAGCACTTATCATCTATCTTGGATGGTGAGATTATTGAATTGATCTGTATAAAACGGAAAGGAGGGAGTACATAAGATGGTAGCGTCTTGAAATCCAACACGTGATAGATGCAACAACAAATAAATTGAGTGAAATAATCAGTAGTGCTAGTGGTTCAGCAGTCGGGAGTGGTATCAGCCTATCAGAAATGCTTGGAAGCAGCACGTATTGGAAGAGGAACCTGACCTGTAGCGGCGCCGGCGGCCGGGGCGTGCTCGTCGGCGAGGCGCGGCGGGAGGGAGTCAAAGTGGTAGTAGGCGGAGAAGAAGGAGGCGGGCATGGGGAAGAGCGAGCAGACCGGGACGCCCCTCCGGTTGCCGACGCCCACGACCCAGGGCACGTAGGTGTCCGCCACGAGCGCCGCGACCTCCCCCTCCTCCTCCCGGAGGCGGTCGAGCAGGAGCTCGAAGGGCGCCTCCATCTCGGTGGCGACGGCGTCGAGGAAGCCCGCGTGGTCGGCGGCGCGGCCGTGCTCGGAGGGGATGACGTTGGGGATGGCGCGCAGGCGGACGCCGGGCGGCGGCGGGGCGGAGGAGGAGGAGGAGCGGAGCAGGCCGAGCCACTCCTCGGTGACGACGAAGGTGACCGCGGCGCCGCGCGCGGCGAGGAGGCGGGACAGGTTCATCATGGCGTTGACGTGGCCCCTCCCGGGGAACGGCACCGCCACAATGTGGCAGCGGCACGGCTCATCCGCGGCGGCGGCGGCGGCCATCTCCGTGACGACTGACGAAGTGACGAGTGTGTGGCTCTCGTCGCGCTGTCGTTGCCTAGGCGGCTAGGCCGCAGACGATGTTTGTTTGGAGTGAGCAGTGAGCAGAGCGCGCGGTGCGGTGAATCTGGTTCTCGTGTCAGCCGCCAACGTGCGCGCGGAGGAATCTGCGGCGACGCGTAGCATCTTTTCTATTGCCCGGCCGACGAGAGTAATTTTTCTACTCCATCCTTAGCGGTTTACAAGGCTTATTTAAAAAATTTAGTTTTTTTATTTTATAAGGCTTAATTTGATTGTTTTCCATCACATGTTCAGACTTCAAGGTGCATTAAATCATTGCATGCAAGTATTAAGAGAAAACTGATCAATGCATGCACTTTATGCGTGCATTGCAATTAATGCATTCGTAAACATAATTTTTTAAGGAAAATAAAAGCACTAATTGGGTGCTTTTGGAAACTACAAAAAAATATTTCACCACTCATCAACTATTTTGGTTGGTGAGATTTTTGAATTGAGCCTTATAAACTGGAAAGGAGGGAGTAGTAGGACGCCGCGCATGTATTGCTTTTTTTCACTCGTCTCTGTAATATGTGGCACAGGTAGCGAGGAGGCCTCACGACAGAGTGACTAAGCTGCCCGTAATAAAAGTATCATAGATAGTATCATGCATGCCAACTAAGCAATTTTGATGAGGTGGTATAGAATTAAACGAAGAAAGAGAGGCTTGAGTATCATATCATGATACCTATTATATTAAATGATGTGCTACTTTGTGTCATGCATGACAATAAATATAGTCCTCTATGATACCAACATACTCCTCATTAGGGATAATAGTATCATAAACTAGTATCATATGTATGATACTCCCCATTGTAACCAGCCTAAGGCTGGTCATAATGGTAGTATCATAGTATCATGCATGTCAACTAGGCAACTTTGATGATGTGTCATAGCATTAAATGAAGAAAGAGATGATGGAGTATCATATTATGATACCGTATCATAATAAATGCTATGTTACTTTGTGTCATGCATGACAATAAATACAGTACTACATGATACTCCCTTCGTTTTTATTTTGTCTGCGCCTAAGTGCAATCCCGGATATCAAGGAGGGCTCTGGTGAGAATTTTTTGGACTGGTTTGCCCCTGCTTTGTTGTTAATTGTGTGTATTGGAAACTGACACGCTACAAATAAGGGCATGAACGGATTGGCCTGTTCCGCTCGTCAGCTTTGCATGCACGCTAACTGCGGCACTAATTGCTTGGGATGGCTCCACACATGCAAGGGATTGGCTAGTCGCTGCTGCTGCATGCAACGGATTGGTTAGCAGTTAAT